ATCAGATGACTTAGGTAAACTTGTTACACCTCTCTATTGCAGGTGAATAAAAAATTACTACCCAAAAAAAGTTGGAACCAAGTGTGTCTTGAAAATAAATGTTTCTATTAGATAATAAGTCTCTTTAGATGGTATATAAGAAGAAAATTAAGATCAAGAATGAATAAGTTTTTCAAATAGTTAAGAAAAAAAAAATATCACAATTAGATATTTTTTATTGAGAAGAGATTTTAAGAAGCAGGTTTTTGGAAGAAGTTGAAAAATTTTTTTCAATTTTTACTTTTTTATTTTCTTATTATCTATTTCAACATTTTTAGATATTTTCCTTCCCTTTTTTTTCAATCCATCTTTTATAATTTCCTATATTTCAATAGTTTGATAGATATATAGTAGTGACAACTTGCTGACAATAATGTAATGAACTAGGAAGGTTTTTACTCAAAAAAACTACAAAGTGAAATATTGTTCTCAAGGCTAAATTTAGAGACTTTTATGTTTATGATGAGTTAGTTAGATTAGAATAATAGTTTAGCTGTAGTATATATTATGCTACTTGAATAAAAATGTACTTATATTTTCAATTGATTAATAAACTAATAATTTGACCTGATTATGAGTATTCAAAAAAAAAAAAAAAAAATCAAATCATATGATATATAATATTAAATTATATAGTAAAAATTAATTGATGATTTATTTATATCATTAATTTGTTAAATTAAATAATCAACAAATTATTTCTTTTTTAGATAAATGTTATATCCATGACATTATGTTGAATAAATATTTTTCAATTAGTGATATTTTATAAAATTAAAAAAATTTTTTTTTAAAACTAATATTAATTCAATATAATAAACTTTATTATTGATTTTTTATTTTTAAATAAATTTAAATTATAGCAAACCATTGCATAATGAACATATATTTCTTAATAACATCAAAAAATTAAAAAATTCTTTTTATTTTATATACTGTATAATTATTTATAAGATGGCTAGATCGTTAGTTTATTAATCAAACAAGCGTAAAGGCTTGGGCGTTGCTCCAAGTTTAGTTATTTAAGTTTTACTTTTTTTAAAAAATTATAAAAAATAGGTTTATATGCGATATTACAAATAATAAAGAATAAACAAAAATTATATTTACATATACAGTATTTTCAAGAAACATTTTTTTTATTTTTATCCGCATAAATTTACTGGTACTGCGGATACTTTAAATATACGGCATGATTGACGCTTTACTTTATCATATCTCATCTCTGCTTTTTCTGAATACGGATTAGGGTCCCTAAATTCAGACTAGCATGGATTCGCATGGATTTGCATATTATATGATCGGCTGTATCTCATCTATTAAATTTAATAGCGAGCTGGATCCTTTTATCTTTATCACATGATGTCACCTGAAATGAACAATCTCGAAAATCCTAGTATCCTAGTGCAACACGTGGCAATTAATTGCAGGACCCGTACAATTTGTAAATTCGATTCACAATCACATGACTAAGATAACGCGATTGTACCACACACAGTTTGATGCCAAATGATGAGTGCACAGTCCTTTTGTTATTGAATTCTTTCTCTACTTGAAAAAAAAATTTTTTTCAAAAATTTTTAAAAAAAAAAAAAGAACAAAAAAAAGAAAAAATAAAGATGATGCCATTAACCTCAAAAGGATCTTTCTCTCAAACACCCGCAACAAATTCCTCGGTTCCTTTCACCGTACTACCGGCACCTTTTCAAACAGTACTACTGATTAGCACCACACAGCTGCAGGAAGCTCTTAGAAGGGTAACGGAAATCGATGTCGATGTAAGGAACTCTTCAGGTTTGTAAATTTTCCCGTTGAACGCGTTAGTACCGTTGAATTCGTTAATTTTTTTTTCTTAGCACCAGTAATTCTCTTTTCGATTTTATCTTACAGCGAACTTGACACCAATCACAAATATCACCAAACAACAAAAATCAGAGTACTCGAGTATTATGGCGGATTTGATTCCATTATATGCAAAGATCAATCGTTTAATTCCGTTGTATTACATAATTACCAAGAATAGCGACACGGCGACCAGGGACTTCATAACGATGGTAAGGAGTTGGGTTCCATTGATTTCGCGTAAAAGTCTTGTCCCGCCATCCTTATGGTCATTCGTTTTCTTTAATAATAGAAATACATGATCCAACGACAATTCATATTGTTACCCGAAGATCGATACTTTTTAAGGATTGAAGAGTTACAGAAGCACAAGAAGTTACTCCAGGAACTCGAAAAATATGAATGCGCAGTGGAAAAACTGCAGAATTCGGGGGGCCACGCATCAATTAACATTCAATTTCACACTAGAGGCGAATCACCACAAAATCAGATCGAACGAGATGATACCGTCAATCACAAGCTTTCATTGCCGCCACTAAAGTGCGGTGCCGGCACTCTTGCAAAGTTTCTTTCTTTGGTTGAAGGGGATTCGTTGGATGAACTCACAAATCGCGTAGGAGATTTGATTCTTCCAAAAAAGATTAATAATGATCAAAGTGTAAATTATTCATTAGCAAAAGGAGGACCGAACATTCAAAAAACAATGCCAATTTTATTGGATCGGTAGTCGAGAACCCGCCTTCCGACAACATCGAGGAATGTATTCGGCTACATGACTGAGGAGTCATTAACGGCGCGCCGTCAAATAACGATAGCTTTCTTCAAGGAAATAACACCATTAGAATAATTCAAACTTCCCCCTCTCAAAACACTTAGGATACAAAAGTAAAATAGATTTTAATTTTTAATGTATGCATTTCACTTCATTTCAGCTTGAGACCAACGCGTCAACACCTATGTAATTGGGTGGTACACTAATTACCTTCATAATAACAGCGCAACCCATCGCATCCTATTCATAACAGTTCTTTATCTCCACTATATAGATACATGTAATTCTAATTATTCAGGACCGGTCAATGATGCAGACATATGTATATTTGGCCTCTATCATTAACAAATGATTAGACGGTTAGAATTGTATTTATGTTATAAATTAGAATCATTTCGTGTAAACGACAAAATAAAGGGAATAATGTGTCGATATGATACCTAAGAACGCGATCTTCTCCGCGGTTTCAACGCGAGGGAATATTTCTTTCTTTTTTTTCTTTCGGCAGAGGATGAGGTATCGGCTAGTTGAATACATAAAAAAAAAAAAAAAAAAAAACCGCGGATTTAAGATTTAAATGGACAAAGGTATCGTCAGTATTATACCAGATTCTTCGTTACATTGACGTTTTCCGGTTGATCTATCTGTGCTCGGAGTCAGGTTTCCTACGCTTCCTCGATGCGCGTCAGATAATGTTCGCTTTTTTGACGTGATCTTTTCCATTTCTTGATTGGATTCTGGGTTAACTGCCCACCATGAACCTGGCTTACGAACGCGACGACCGAATGATGATATAGCCACGACTTTCGATCCTTTCTTAGAGATATCCCCTATTGGATTCACCGAATTCTTTTCTCCATTTCGACCAAACCTTTTGTTGCCAAGTTGGGTGTTTTGAGTGTCTTGGACACCTTGAACACCTCGAAGGCACTGAATGTCTTGAACGTCTTGTACATCCTTTATGTCATGTATTATATCCTGTGCGCATTGTTGTATATCTTGAGCGTCATGTCGTGAATCATGTGCTTCTTCTTGTATATCTTGTTGTACATCTTGCGTCTCTTTCTGCAGATCTTGTGCCTCTTGCTGTAGATCTTGTGTGTCCTGTTGTTCATTCTGCACATCTTGAATATCTTGCACGTTTTGAACATCCTTCGCGTCTTGTGTTGACTCATCAAGAATTGAATCTGTAAAAATCACAGGTTCCATAGTTTCACACAAGATAGTGTCGCGATCAACATTATCATCGTCGCTCCCGTTTGACTGCGCGCCGATGATATCATCTCTTGAATTCTCAGCGTCGTTTGACTGTTTGTCATGCGTTGCTGCTATCTCTTCATGTGCAACTGTTATTGAACCGTTTTCCTCGACGACAGTTTTACGCGACAAAAAAAAGGATTCAATAACAGTTGTACATGATGGATCATTCTCTTCCTCATTGTCATGTGCAACCACCGTTGGCTGTCTAGTCGAATTCGAACGTGGGTCGCCCGTGAACTCGCGCAATAATGTCTCTTTCCAATCATCAGGAAATCCATCGCGAAATTTTTCACACAATTCTCGCGAGAATCCATCATTTAGCATGCTCTCTGTTGTCAGCCTACCTTCAAGTTTATATATTTTCCCGCTCGAAGTCTTCACCATCATTTTATTCACTCGATCTATAATCAACGATGAATGCCATTGTTGATGTTGTCGGTCCCTCCTAATGTAACCTTCGATCACAATCCATCTGTCGGCATTAGATGGAAGTAAAGGGTTTGCATTCGGTTGTACAGGAATACATTTTAAATGCCAA